CTAGGAGTGCATCAAGGAAGCAGCACTATTAATACAGCCTATATGTGTGTTTCTTTTTTATTAATAAATCACTTCTTCTAAAATGTGAACTTTTAGTGTAGTAGTTACTCTGGCCACATATCTTGTGGTTTCAGTCATAGATCTTTATATATTAATTTTTCCATATTTTGGTTAATAAAACATATGCTAAGATTTTTTTTACCTGCCAGTAATTGGGAAGTGAACTCCCAGATTGTGGAGGATTTTGGGGTGTTGTGTTTTGGGGGGGGTTTTGTTGTTGTTGTTTTGTTTGTTTGTGAGACAGTGTCTTTCTGTGTAATTCAGGCTGGTTTTGAACTCACTGTATAGCCCAGGCTGGCCTCAAAACTGTAGTGATCTTCCTGCCTCAGCCTCCCAAGTGCTGGGATTATAGGCATGCCCGATCATCCCCAGCAAGGTTTTTGGATTTTTTAGTTGACTGAAGTCATGAATTAAAATTCTCAAAGGAAACTTCACTATAAATTTGAGAACCTATATTTCATATTATAGGAAAATCATGGATAGCCAGAGTTTTCCGGTGATTGTCTGGTCTGTTTAATGAGTTTTTTTGTTTGTTTGTTTGTTTGTTTTTTGAGACAGAGTCTTGCTCTGTAATTCAGGCTGGCCTAGAACTCACAGCAGTCCTGCTTCAACTACCATGTGCTGGAATTACAGGCGTATGCCACCATGACTGGTGTGCTTCAGTTTTTGATGGCTAAGTATTGAAGTATTGCCAGGATATAATTGTTTTCATTTTTGTTTAAAGTTTCTTTGAATAGAGTCTACCTTGATTTTTTTTTAATATGTAGTTTAAAGGCTCTTTCAGTGAGTCAGTTGATCTCTATGTCCCTGTCACCATTCAGGCATTTGGGGGCTTTAAACGCTGAGAGGAATCTTAGCCAACCCAGCACCTACAAAAAGATCTCTCTTTTGAGTCCTTGCTCTGAACTCTTTCTTTTCTTATCTTCTCCTTTAAAGGAGTGACTGAGAAAATGGGGTGTCATGGTGTGTGCTTATAATCCTAGCATTCTGGAAGTCTGAGGCAAGGAGATCACAAGTTCAAGCCCAACTTCATCAGTTTAACAATTTAGCAAGACTTTGTCTCAGAATAAAAAGGACTGGTGATATAGTTTAGTTGGAAGGTCCTGGGTTCAATTCCACGTACCACCAAAAAATGGATTTCTTTTTAAGCCACCAAGTGGCAGATAAATGTTTTCTCAGTTTTATTTTATCATAATGCTGCAAAGCAGATACTTTCCCTTTAGAGACCCATCACCTCCTGTTCATAGGCCATCTTAATGGCCCCAAATCCTGTCCCACTTGAGTCCACACATATCAAGTGTTTGAGTCTATGTTGAAAACAAATCATTCAGTTATGTATTATATGACTATCTAGGAAGAGTTTAAAACATTCTTTTTAAAGGCATGTTTGAATAACTCTTGTTTTAACACAGGTAAATTAAAAACCCATTCTTAGTTTATATATTTTAACATTTCAAAACCACCTGCCTCACAAGAACAAGGTCCTGAGTTTGATCCCCAGTACCAAAAAATAAAAATGAAAAAATAGCACACATTTATTTTTCTTAAAAATTTTACATGTTTACACTGGGCACAGTGGTAAACACAATCCCATCAGCATAACTTTTAATACAGAGGACAAAAAAGGTGACACTGTATATTTTGTGTACATAATTTTACTTTTTTTCACAAACACATCATGCATACCCACTTTTCTTATGCCTCATTTTTGCTTTAAAAAAAAAAAGCATGATTCATGCCATGTGATTTTTGTTATTTTAAGACAGGGTCTCACTATATGACCAAACTGACTTCCGTCTCATGATTCTCCTCCATCAGCCTCTAGTACTGGGGTTATAAGAATCTGCCACCTGCCTGGTTGGTTGGTTATTTATTTATGTATTTGCACTGGGGAGCATTGAACCCCAGGCTTCATGGATGCTAAGCAAGCCCTCTAACACTAAGTTATACAACCAATCCTTTTTTTTTTTTTTTTAACTGATGAGGTCTCACTAAATTACCCAAGTTGGCCTCTAATTTGCCTCAGCCTCAATATCTGGAATTATAGCATGCACCACCATGCCCAGCATACATGTGGACTTTTGCAGTCTTATTTTTTTGCTAGTCACTGGTTGCTATTACCCTTTAGACACAGAATTTATTTGTATTTTTACCTGCCATGTTTAAGAACTCTATTTTTCTAAATTCTCAACTACTGTTGATTACATTTTTTTAATACTGTGATTTTTTTTCAATTGATATTACATGAGGAAGTCATTTCACAGCCTATTAGATGCATAGCAGGAGGTATTTTTTGGTTTGGTTTGCATTTTTTGGCTTGCTTTGTAGTTCAGGCTGGCCTTGAATTCCCCGCAATCTTCCTGCCTCAGCTTCTGGAGTGCTGGAATTAATAAGTATGTGCTACCACATCTGGCTTAGGAACTTTTTGTTTGTTTTTTGTTTTGTTTTTGTTTTTTTGAGACAGGGTCTCATTATGTAGTTGACACTGACCTGGAACTCACAGTGATCATCCTGCCTCAGCCTCTTGAGTGCTGGGATTACAGGCATGTGCCACCATGCCTGGCTGAGGAACTTTTTTTTAAAAAAACTGATTAGAGAATAAATGAAAGTTCATTGTAGATGACTTAGTGTAAAAAGCATAAAGTAGAAAAGCAATATCATTAGGAATTCTGCCAACATAAGTGAGGTCTTGTATGCAGTTTTCTGTTCCTTTTTTTTCTCATGTAATTTTTCTATTACATTAAATTTACTGAATATACACATACACACACACGCACACACATACACAGGGGGTTGAATTCGGGACTTTGTGCTTGTGAGACAGGCCACAGCACCACTGAGCTAAATCCCTGTCTCTATTAACATTAAAATGTTGTTGGCTGACATTTATTTAATCATTCCTCCTAAGTTGCTTTTTCTTACTGTTGTAATTCTCCTATGATGGGTATCATATGTATAAAACATGGGTTGCATTTTTATTATGCTTTAAGAGATATAACTCACTGCAGAAATGAACATATTTAGTGCTGTCTTACGTATATAACTAGAAAAGCTATATGAGTTATGTTTATAAGAACATCTAAGCATGTGCACATGGCCAGTCTTCTAGGCATTGAGCCTTAGCCTTTTTAACATCTTTGCTGCTCTGAGTTGGGATTGGTGCACTCCTGTAGTCCTGGCTACTCAGGAGGATCACTTGAGCCCAAGAGTTAGAGACCAGTGTAAGCAACAGTGAGGTAATGAGACCCTATCTTTAAAAAGGAAGAAAAAACTTTGCTACTTTAACAGGTGAGAATGATCTTATACTTTAATCAGGAACTTTTTCTTAAATAATAAGAAATTGAACCCTACATCAAGTTACCCTTCCTCCACCCCCAATCATGCCTTCATGAACAGAGATCTCCAAGACCTAGAAACGGGCCAACATGAAGGAGGGAGTTTTGAAATCAGCCACCAGGAATAAAAGGGGCAAGCAGGAGCCTAGGTCAGAGGTCAGGACTCAACAGATGTCCTGCCGGTAAAATAAAGCTTTTTTTGTTTGTTTGGGTTTTTTTTTTTTTTTTTGAGACGGTCTCGGGTCTCGCTGTGTAGTTGAGACTGACCTGGAACTCACTATGTAGCCCAGGCTGGTCTCGAACTCACAGTGATCCTCCTCCTGCCTCAGCCTCCGGAGTGCTGGGATTACAGGCGTGCACCACCACACCCATCAGAACTTTTTTTTTGAGACAGAGTCTCACTTTGTAGTTCAGTCCGGTTTTGAATTCACTATGTAGCCCAGGCTGGCCTTGAATTTGTGGCAGTCCTCCACCTCAGCCTCCTGAGTGCTGGGATTACAGGTGTGTACCACCATATCTGGCAGATATATGACTTATTTCTTCAGTTCTTTAATCTTGTTTTAAATTTGTGAGTCTTCATGAACTTTAGTGTGGTGTCAGGGAATAGTTGATCTCCTTTTTTGTGAGACCATTTAATTTCATTAACCTTAGATTTTGATAAATGCAGAAAGTTGAAACAGACACTGGTGTAATTGATTGTGCTTTCCCATCCTTTAAGCAGCCATGTTGACTTTTTTTTTTTTGTACGGGGGATTGAACTCAGGACCTTTCACTTGCAAAGCAGGTGGCAGAACCACTGAGCTAAATCCCTGGCCCCACAGCCATGTTGATTTTAAAACATCAAAAATAATAAATTTACCAAAGACATCCAGGTTATGGTCATGATAGTTTGATTCACAAATTATTTGCAAGCATGTTGCTTTCTTGATAGGTCCTTTTTTACTACAGTGCTGGGTATTGAACCCAAGGCCCTGCACATGCTAGACAAGTATATTTCCACTAAGGCCTAGTCCCATTTCATTGAACCAAAATTTGGTGACAACCTAGTAAAAATGAAGCAGCTTGGCAAACTCAAATCTTTTTTCTTTTTTCTTTTTTTCCCTCGTAGTTGGGGACTTGAACCATAACATCACGCATACTAGGCAGGTGCTTTATTGCTAAGCCCACTTAGTTTCTGAAATGGTTTTAGATGAAGCAAGTAGGTCCTTAGAATAGTTATAAAGTAAATACTAAATTCAAATTTGATACAGATTTCCCTCTACCTTCTAATCTGAAGTAATTTTTAAGGTATAGTTATTTTAGGATAATTGTACTTTTCTCACGCCAATATGTGAATATCCTGTTAGAGGTGAACTGTAATCTTCTATGTGGGCTTAACAGCATAGGCTTGAGTTTGGTTATTTCTTTATCACTAGGGCTTTTTTCAACAAATGGTTTGTTTACTTTTTGAGAAAGGGTTGTTGAGTTTAATTTTCTCGGAAATTGGGATATAGATTCTTAATGATGTTATTTTTCTCTATTTCCCTGTTAAAATTTTGATAGTTAAGTTATTGTTTAAAAAAACTGTTTTGAGACAAGAGTCTCGCTATGTAGTTGAGGTTGGCCTTGAACTCACTATGTGGCCCAGGCTGGCTCTGGACTTGTAGTGATCCTCCTGCCTCAGTCTCCCAGGTTCTGGGATTTAGGCATGCATTACAACACCCAGCAATAGTTAATTGATAACTTTGGTCCGTTGATAGCTTAGTAGAGAATGAATGCACACAACTTACTAGTATTTGCATACTTCAGGTACAGAAATGACATTTGTTTGCCACTTCTTATTCTTCATAATCTGCAGTTAGGCATGTGGGTATTTGTCTTCCACACTGCAGCACTTAACTTGATGAATCCAATTTTTTTCTCCTCCCAGAGCTCATGTTCTCAAATTGATCTTACGGACCTCTTCTTTCTGTTGATATAGAGGGGCAGCGCAACATGATGGTGGAATGTGGGTTTTAGGTTAGTATCTGGGTTTAAAGAATCCCAGGGTGTTTGAGGAACATTGTCATGTTACCAAATTGCTTCAAGCCTTAGTTTCTTCATCTAAGAGAAAAGAATAAACTTGAGTTGTGAAAATTAAATGATACAATGTATATAAAGCACATGATCTAGAAAGGCATTTAAAAATAAGTATAGTTATTATTAAAAAGTTTTAAGAAGACTTCTGTTGGGCTAGAGTGTGTTAATAGTAGTTTGGAATCAACTAAAACAAATCACCTGGTTGCTGTTGCTAGTAGTAACCTTTGTAGTTGGAAATATAGTATTAGATTTCTGGCCCATTTTTTCCCATCATCCATGATTATAAACATTTTGGTCTCGGTCACCATTCCTTGCAAATTAATTAAATGCATCCTTGAGTATGTAATATTGGCAATGTCTATTCCAATCCACCATAGCTAGGTATAACTATTGACTGACTCTGTGCTGGTCTAATTTTTGCTGAGCCTTAGAACCAAAGACAGACTCCAGGGGTTGATGTGGGACCTCCAGAATGGGGATTGCACAGAATAATCTTATTTTTCCTCTATTCTTCTAGTCTGTTATGTTCTGAACCCACACATGTTTTCGGAAGGACCAGATGGCTGACACTGGCTAATGGGAACCAAAAGACGAGTGAAAGTAACCTGTTGTCACATACCCCCAGCTTAGAGGTGCTTCACCCTGCCCCAAGATCAATTTCTTTTTTCTCTGGAAACTTCACCCTGCTGTATCCAAAAACCTACTACAGAAGTTGGGCATGTTCATAGGCCAGGTATTTGGCAGGCGAAAGAGGGAGGATCACTTGAGCTCATGAGTTTGAGACCAACTTAGTCGACATAGGAGACCCTGTCTCAAAACAAAATTTAAAAACTCTGCTCTCACCTGGCTTATTTGAGTTAGATTATCATTCAAGCAGCAGAATTTGTTAAATGAAAAAGATTATACTCAAAAGTATGAGATGAAGCCCTCTGCTTTTAAAAGGAATTGGGGATTTTGTGGTTTAGACTTGGGATTTTAAAATCACAGACCTGAATTAAAATACAGCTCCACAGCTTGTAAGCTCCTTGACATTGAGCAAGTTGCTTAATTTCTCAAAGCCTCAGTTTTCTCACTGTAAAATGAGAATAATAGTACATTGTTCATATTTGTTATAATGAATAAATAAAATATGGCTGATTTACTCTGTGCTGGGTACTATGTTAAATACCCAACAGGCAGGCACTGGCCTTTATAATTATTAAAGAGCCCATAATCAAATGAGAAGACAAAGAAAAAAAAGCACAAGATTTGGAAAAACCATAAACATACAGCTGTGTATATTAAAAATTGAAGCTGGGGATTTAGCTAAGCGGTTTGGCGCAAAGACCTGAGTTCAATCCCCGGTACCAAAAAAAAAAAAAAAAATGAATTGAATAGCCCGGGGGATATAGCTCAGTGGCACCACCTGCCTGGCAAGCACAAGGTTCTGAGTTTGATGCCCGGAACCAGAAAAAAGAAATGAATAAAAATACTAAAGAAGATGCAAAGACAGGTTTCTAAGGCTTCATAAAAGAGGTAATTCTCAAGCATAAAGAACAATATTGAGATGATTCAATTTGTTGAGTCAAGTTGTTCAGAGTTTAGTGAAGGTATTTAGGCATCATAGACTTTATACAAAAGAAAGATTTCACAGCTGGCTTTCCCTGTGTAAAGAGACAGATTGAGTAAAAATAAACAGACTAAAATATGTAAATAGATTGAACAGGTAGTGACAATCCTGAGGGCCCAGCAAAATGAGAAAACTATAGAACTTGGCAGTAAGCCCAATGAGTAACCCAAGACGAGTAGTCAAAAGTGATTAATTACAAGGTTGTTGGGAATGAATTAGACATTGGGATCTGGAAGAGAGAAATCATGAGGTAGGTTTTCTTCTTTGAAGGTGAGGAAAGATCAAGTGCAGACTGAGCTGTGGCCAACCGTTTGCAGACCAGGAATCCACACCAGCTCTAATCATAGAGCTCTTGGTGTGCAGGAACTGCCAGTTTGCCGACGTGAAAAGAGCCCCAGACTGGGTAATGGTGAGCCCTGAAGTCGCACCCCAGCTCTACCACTCAGTGAGCACGGGTAAGTCATCCACCTTCTGCGGGTGGCCTTGAAGGCGCTCCCTCTCCGGAGTTTACAGAAAGGGAGGCCAGAAAACCCAGAGCAGCCTCCTTCTGTCTCAGGATAGCAAAGGATCTTAGAAAACTATTCATGGTAGCAGCTTCCACTTGTGGTTATAAACACCCTCTGTTACCAGGCAAATCTTACTGCAACCATGATCATCGATCCCAAGATGTAAATGTGGCACTGGTTAATTCTGCTGTGAGGGCCCAACTGCTCGTTCCCTGGAATGTTGCATACCTTTGTGATCCAGGCAGTTACACTGTCTCATATACAAGTTTTTCTCTTGAGTTGGCCTCTTCTGAGCTCTAGAGTTGGTTGCAGAACTGTTTTTTGTTCTACAGATTTCCAAGTGCTTTATGCAGACAGCAAGAAATACTGTTTATTACTGTACTATCAATGTGTCCTTTTTTCACCTCAATAAGACCAAGTTGGCTAAAGCATAGGATCAACATTGAGTGCTTTGAAAGAAAGCTGTTTGATTCCTGTTCACTGAATGCCATTTCTTTCAGGGTAGATTTAAGGGCTTTGCCCTTAAAATACAGTGCTACTGGCTCTAGATTGAGGGTTCAAGCCACCCCATGGGTTAACTTCAACAGATGAAAATTTTTCCTTGGCTACAGCAACATCCCTAATCCTGACCAGCCATGGAGAGGTTCGGTTCTTACCAGGAAAATGAGTGAATGTGGGAATGGCTCTCACCACATTGGGAAAACAAAACTCACATCCTGCTGATGGTTGGCTGAGGACTGTGATGTCCACATACAAAGAAAAGCATGTGGCACAGTTTTAGGACAAAGGTGAGCAGAGATCCACCGTGGAAAGGGGCACATTTTTCTTATAGAGAGAATATCCAAGGCATGCCCCTCGGTAAGCAGTGTTGGTGGGTGACCGCGGTCACACGCATGGAGGCTTGCTTTCCCTGCTCTTCATCACCACTCCCCAGCGGGTTCCCATGTCTAGCACCCCCTTAGTCACACCGTGCTCAGGCAGTCATTGGCTGGCCCGTCTTCTGAGCAAGCCCTGCTCATCATTTCTAAGGTGGACCTATTCTTTACTTTCTTTGTTCATTGGAGATATTTGGGAGATAGATGGCCTGAGGGTGTGATAAACTGCATGCTCTTCTGTAGAACACACAGGCCTAGAGCAGTGTTTGGTCTCATTGGTATCAGGCATTAGGATCAGGGAAAGCCTATTTGGCAACAACACAAGTTGGGTAATGATTCTTGGATGAGGAGTCTGGTAACATTTCTAAAATTGAAGTCTTGAGAGTACCTTAGTTTGAAAACCTGTCATTCTAGTTGGACCGTTGCAGAGTCCTGACTGATACTTGAGCAGTGTGTTAGCTGTGGCTAGACTAGAGCATTACGCGGAGATAAGAATATATGATATTTTAAAACAGCCCAGGTACTCAGCGCAGCTTGCTTTGTGGCATCCAGTACCTGTCATCAGTAGTAGTGTTCACTTTTAAGTGTAGAGTGACAGCAAGTGCCTCTTTCTAGCCTCATTCCTTTGACTCAGTTTGTCCGAATAGAACGTGACCAGAGAAAAACAGTTTGTGAGTAGACAGTATCAGAGAAATGTTGAAAGATTATTTTCTGGGTTTGTTTGTTTGTTTTGGTGTTTTGTTTTTAAGACAGGATCTGACTATGTGGTTTAGGCTGGACTTGAACTCACTATGTAGCCCAGGCTGGCCTTGAACCCATGGTGATCCTCTGGCCTCAGCCTCCCAAGTATCGGGATTATAGCCATGAGCCACTACACACTCAGTTTTTTCTTTTAATTGAAAACTTTTGTGCATTTAATAGTAAGGCCTCATTTTCTATTTTTGCACATAGTATGGGAAGGAAGAGTAAAAGGCATGGCATCTGAGAGAAAGGCGAAGCATGTTAGAGGGCTGTTTGTGTCTTTATTAGTTTCTGCTGTATAAAGGCTCTAAAATTGTGTTTAGATTCATTCTCTTTGATTCCTGAATCTTCTTCATTTTTACTCTGGAATCATTGAAAGGCATTCTTTGTTCATACATAAGAGAGCAGAAAAGGAACAGTGTCTGCTGTTAGGGTTAGAGGCATTTATCTGTTGGGTTATGTTTCGTGAGGTTTATTCACAGGTTTCACTAGAGAGCTGTTATATGTAACATAGACGCACAGGCAGACATATAATAGTTTGTATGCATCCACACTTCCCTGTTTTGACAAAATATTCTAAGGAGAGTACTTATAGAAAAGGTTAACTTCATATTATTTGCTGCAAAGCACAAAAAGAATGTTTAGGTTAATTTTAAGATTCACTAATATTAGTTACCAAAAAGACTTTGAAGGCACTAAAATTTAACTCACAGAAAGTTAAATAAAATATTTAAATAAAGTGAATATTGAAACCCAGAGTTTTAAAAGTATTTTAGATAATAAAAATTAAATTTATCCCGTCCATCTGTTGCTTTTATGAACCTCTGGAACTACCATCTTGGTCCTGACAATTTTTACAGTTTAAATTATCCATACTTAAGCAAAAGGAATAAAAATGTGATATTTATCTCATGCTTTTGGTGTTTGGATAAACTTCACAAATAGGTAGTGTAGTTCTCTCACTTGACAGATAAACTAAAACCCAAAGAAATGAAACAATTAAAATACACTGCTCAGTGTTAGCTTCTAACAGAACCAGAACTAAAGCCCAGGCCAGTGCTTGCTGCTCCAGTCTTACGGTTTTGACTGTGGAGTCAGACCACAGGCTTTGAATGCCAACTCTCCTAGTTTTCAAAGTGAAGTTATGTGACTTTGTGCCTAAGTTTCCTCATCTGTGAAACAGGAATAATACTATCTGGCTCTTGAGTGCTGTGAATATTAAATACAGTAATTAATATAAAAGATTACTTAAAGCCATATAACATTTTACTGTTATGTATAATCTTCCTGCCTTATTTGGGGGAACCATTCACTGTACTAGTTCAGGGAAAGCAGATCTAAATAAACAGTAATTTGGTAGAAGCAGCTACACAACACTGTAGTATTTTACTCTCAGAACAGGAGTTCTTGTCAGGTATGATTTGCTGAATGAGAAAGGTTTTTGTTGTAATCTTCAGACCCATCCAGCATGCCAGTGGCAGAAAGAAGTGACAGTCAGATGCCTGATTTGATCCTTGGACTGGACTTTGACATTAAAATGCTCCAAGTAGATTTTGTGGATTATAGAGGAGTAGTTAAAATTCATTTTGTGAAATAAATTGGATCTTAAGTCAGTTTTTGGGGGCAGGTAGCGGGGATCAAACAGGACCTTGCGCTTGCAAGGCTGGCAGTGGAACCACTGAGCTAAAACCCCGGCCCCAACTCCAGCTGTTTTAATACGTGTCTTGAATCTCTCCGTATCCCTGCATTATGGCCACTAAGTGACCCACTTGTTGGAAGTTTTAAGATGTATATTGTATATCTTAATGACTGTAAGGGTCGTTTTCCTGTAACATCACAAAGTGTCCCTCCAACTCAGGGAAGAGTTTTATTGGCAAGCTATACCTTCAGCCTCACTCAGTTTATAGAAAGATGGGTCTATTGATTTTTAGTTTTAAATAATTTTGCCTCCACTAAACAGATTGTGCTTACTTTCCTGAAAGGTCAGAGTGAGTTCTGCGTGTAATCCTTGAAGGATGATGGTTTCTGAGACTGGGAGAACACATTCCCACATGGGACTGACAGAAGCACCGTTTGGTATCCAAAACAGCTGGCCTTCCGCTGCAGTTACCCTGCAGAGCTTAGGGCCTAAAATTTTCTGACCCCTAGGGGATTGTAACCTAAATTTGAAAAGAAAATAGTTTGGATTTTCCTGGGATGCATGTGTTTAATCCTCAGGAGTCAGAGTTGAAATCTGGGCATTGAGTGGTACCACACCAGTGGGTACCTTCTTAGGAAAGGAAGCGCATTTTACTATGCCCATGTCCTGTGTTCTCACTACTCCTCCCTACTTGCTCATGGCTTAGATCTGTTAAGTCATAAAATAATTTTAGGGAAACCAAAGCAAAGTAGATTTTGTTTTTTTATTTGCTTTGTTAAAACTTTTATCTATGAAAATAATACTGTGGTTTTCCTGGTGACCCATTCTACCTAGGAAAGGAAAAAGCAGCTACAGAATATTACCTATTATAAATTTTTAGTGACTGTAAAGCACTTTTGAACATAGTAAGTCAGTGATTTGGAGAGGCTTTACTGCCTTGTCAAATATAACAGCATATTAAAAGTCATTCTTGGGCCGGGGATTTAACTCAATGGTTCTGGCGCCTGCCTCTCCAGCGCAAGGACCCAGGTTCGATCCCCGGTACCAAAAAAAAAAGAAAGAAAGAAAGAAAGAAAAAAGTCATTCTTACTAAGCTACTAAGCAGTTGTAGCTTGTGGAAGCATGAAACCCACATTTTAAAGTCTTCATATCCCATAAATTGGACTGGTGGCTTCTAAATTGTGTTTCTGCAAACAATTCCTATTAGATAACTGGGTGTGTGTGTTTGTGTTTTAATAGAGTTGAGATTCAGTAACTAATAGTTTAAATGTTACTCAGACATTTCAGCATAAAGAACCCTCCAAAACTGGCCTACACCCTGCAACATAGCAAGTTGCCACCTTGAGAGACTCTTGTATGAAAAGAACTCTTTTAGTAAAAGAGAATTTCAGCAACTCTAGGTTCTCTCACTTACGGAGTTATTAAGTGCAACATTACAAATGGGAATTGTTCTTTGTTAGTAGCAGACTGGATGCCCGTTTCTAGTGTCAGTGTTGAAATGCAGAGAAGCACTAGTCGGTGTTTGCCACGTACACGGCATTGTTAGAGTCTAAAGAAGTTGCTCGTAGGATCAGGTGGATTTTGGTTTTTAAATATCAACAGAGCTAGACTTATGTTAGACCAAACTAAATAAATGTTTATTGATAACATAGTTTACGGGGTGTTTATTTAACCTTGCTTATAAGTATTTTGCAAATTTTGTGCTTTACAAATTGTACTCTTCGGTGGGCATTAATAGGATTTGGGGGGGTTGGTTTTCTTTCCACTTTGTATTAAACCACCATATCCCTTTGCTGGGAAATTCCTAGCAGTTTGATGTAAACAGTTGTATATAGATTTTAGAGAATACCAGCTTATCTAAAATGTCATGAAAACAAATTGGGATTTCACAGGGAAGTAAATAGCTCCAAAATTTTTTTTTTACTGATTTTTAGAGCAGTTAATTCATTTGTGATTAATTCATTCAGGCAGAGGAACAGGAACTTTATATATATTTTTTTTTCCTTCGCAGTAGAAGTTTAAGATACTGTGATTTTTCCTGCTGTGTTATTCAAATATGATTTGACAGTTACAACAGTGCCTGACTATAGATCTAATTGTTTCTAAGACAACTCATAAAGCTTCAAAAGAAAAAGATGTTTTCATGTGATGTTTTAGGAGCAAACGTTCAACTTATGAAGTGATATATTTTGATACCTTGACCCAAGCATACCTTGGAGGTCTTTGCTGTTGCCTCCGTCTACCTGGAGAAACAAAGTGTTGTCTATATGTTATCTGTGTATTTAGACAGCTCCCCTCTAGAAAGATAGGGGTCTACCTTGAGAAGTCTTCCTACCTCTTATAGTGCCCGTTGGCACAAAAAGCACAATGATTTCAACTAAGAGGAGAAAAGTGACCCTTAGTTTGCAAAACCCACCTAACCTTTGCTAAGCATGAACCTCATTGCTTTCTCTTGAATGTTAGTAAAGCCATATGTCAAACTGATGCCAACTGGGATTTTGTTTGCTTTTTTCTAGGTATGGTTTTGTGGAGTTTGATGATCTGCGTGATGCAGATGATGCTGTTTATGAACTGAATGGCAAAGACCTTTGTGGTGAGCGAGTAATTGTTGAGCATGCCCGCGGCCCACGAAGAGACGGCAGTTACGGTTCTGGACGCAGTAAGCATTTGAAGGGCATATATGTATCGATGACATGCCTTTGTTATTAAATGTTAATTTTTAAAGTAATTAATATTGCATTTAAATGTATTGATGTTAAAGCTATTTATTTGTTCTATAAATTTTGTATATTTTAAAATTAGAATTGCAAATAAATGTCTTTGATAGTATTTAATTAATGACAAATTGCTTGTTTTAATACTTTATAAATAATGTTTAATGATGTGTGTTTGTGTTATTTTTTTTTTCTCTGTAACACAATTGTTTAACATAGATTTAACAAAGACCTCAGTGTTTTAATTAAAAGACTCCTTTGAGGCTAAGATGACTGCCTGTTCCATTTGCTGGCCTTGAGTTACCTTTCCATGCGTGGCTCTTTGAAACCTGTATGGCCCTTGGCTGACCAAAAACAGGAAGCCATGTGACGACCGCAACCTTTCCCCATTAGACCTGGGTGGTGAGGATCCTGAGGGTTAGACACAGATGAGATTAAACTGAAATAGGTGCCTGAAAATCTTTTTTCATACAAAATTTTCACAAAAACTTTAATCACTGTGAGTAACAACAGGAACTGATTAGTAATTTGGTTACTTATTTCTAAATTGTTAAATTTAATATTTTAAAATTTATGCATGTTAATTATAAATATTAATGACTACATACTTACAACTTTATAAGTTAAATTTTTCATGTTTAATAGCTTTTTATAAAAATCTAATTTAAAATTAAGGGTGGGATTAGAGTTAAAATACATGTGCTGTTGTTTGGGGTGGGAAGTAAAGAATATATTTTAATAGGAGTATGTATTGTGTTACCTTTTCTTTTTCCTCCACTAACCTAATCTTATGTATTTGGACCTTCCAAAGGTGGATATGGTTATAGAAGAAGTGGGCGAGATAAATATGGCCCTCCTACCCGCACAGAGTACAGACTTATTGTGGAGAATTTGTCAAGTCGATGCAGTTGGCAAGACCTAAAGGTTTGGGCCTCGTTATCCTTCTGGGGTAAGGTTGGGCAGGAGTTAACATTAAGAGACAGGTAAATTTATGTAAGCATACACAATATAATGGTGTGTCTCTGAAAGCTTCATCAGAGCATTTAGAAATTCTCCAATTAAAATTCCCATGAGAGTACAAAAAAGACAACAATTTCATTCATACCTCTTATCGTGAGGCTGTCACTCTTAAGGATAAATCTGTTTTATGAAATCTCCCTCTATAGACAATGTTATAAGGAGATGCCAGTGTAATTTCTCACCAGTAAAAGGTTAGAACCGCCAGTCTTTCTGGAAACACTAGTTGTAACATGGAAATTGATGTCTTCGGTATGGATCCTCGTTGGTGAAACTGATAAGAAAAAGAATGATCAGTTTCCTGTCTTATTGTTGGGGGGGCACCAATAAATAAGGAATTCCTAGCAAAATAAGTGAGTACATTTAGGTTCAGCAAAGAGAAGTTAGGAATCCTATCATCTCAACTTAAAGCAATATATTTTTGTTAAAATTTGCTTTTGCTCCCAACAACTTCTAAGAAAGACAAAATCCAGAAAAGTTTAGCTGGTACAGTTGAAGAGCTGAGACTAGGACTTGACTCCCAGTGTGGAGATTTTTTTTACATTATGTTGCATTGTGTTGACTGTCAGCATTGTAGGAGGGAGACCTTTACTGGATATCTGCCTACCAGTGAAGTTGTGCTTGCTAAAGGAATGACATCAGAATTCTGAGCGGTAGGGACTGAACATTGGGAGTCGTGTGGAGTAGGCACCCTAACCCCATGCTGAGAACTGAACGGGGGCCTTCACACTGAGCTACATTCCCAGACATTTTCTGAGACAGGGACTGAATTGCCCAGGCTGGGCTGGAGCTTGCAGTCCTCATACATTAGCTTCCCAGAGTGCTGAGACTGAAGTCATATGCCACCACACCTGGCAGAAGTTTCTGTCTTCATGAGTGCAGAATGCCAAGCCTTCATGTGGTGTTACTAAATATTCTACTAATATCTTATAAAAGTTTTCAATTTTTTGGTTAAAATGGGAGTCTGGTTAACAGCCTTAGTTGACTTTTTAATTCTGTATCTTTGAACAGTTTTACTCTCAGAAAAACAGCAATTTCCTGGTAAGTCAAGATTTTCTTAAGAGCAGGAACCGGATTGAATCATAGTTCTGCCACTTTTCTACCATTTTTGTGAACTTAGCAAGTTCTTTACCTCTGTGTCTATATTCTTCAACTATAAAATAGGATTAATACTGGGCTGGGGATTTAGCTCAGTGGCACCACACCTGCCTTGTAAGTGCAAGGTCCTGAGTTTGATCCCCAGTACCAAAGGAAAAAAATTTCTAATCAAGATTATTATGAGAACTGAGTACATTTTTATAAAATGCCTGCAATGTTCCTGGCACACAAAAAATGTTATTAATAAAATGTGAAAAATAAATTTAAAGAGATCTTGTTTAAAAATATAATTAATGCCCAGTGTAATGCTGTTGAGGTGAAAATGATGTACTAGTATACTGTCTATATAACATTGAGAATGATAGTTTCATCTCTCGGGTGGGTAGTGTAAGAATTCCTCCAGGAGTCTTACTGCTAATGTTCATATCCTAGCTTTGTTTACTACCTGAATGAACTTGAGCAGTTTACTTAACATTTCTGATTTCACTTTCCACATCTGCAAAATGGAGGTGACAATTTTATCTACCTTATGTGGTTGTAGTTAGGACTGAGTTACTTAACATATCACACAGCAAATATTCAATAAGTTAGCAGATTTTATTTATTTATTTTTGGTACCCGGGATCAAACTCAGGACCTTGTGCTTGCGAGGCAGGCGACAGCACCACCGAGCTAAATCCCTGGCTCCAAGTTAGCCAATTTTATTACTAATTTGAAAGTGTGACAAGATAAAAGTAGTGACACTTTCAAAGTACCACCAAAATGTTCCTAAATCTCATTTTGCCAGGGCAGTCTCAGTCTTGTCCTAACTGCCCTCATTCATTGTTAAGGGTATCCCACTTTGGATGGTTCCCTGCCTTTTACCCAGGATCCTCACTCCTACAAATAATTCAATGGAAAAAAAAATTTTACACCAAGATGTTCTTGATTGATTATAAACAGTAGCAAAAATCTGGATATAACCTAAAAGCCTTAACAATTGAGAGATCCTCAGAAAAAGTACTGGGCACATGAACTATGGAGATTGTATATATGTTAAAACATGTAAACATGTTACGATGCAGGGAACAAAGAATCAATATAAAATGACCTGTTTAAGGATGGGGGATGTGTTTGAGGACTGTGTAGTACAGTGGTAAAATGTTTCCCCAGTACTACCACAAAAACCACAAATGATACATTGTTATTTGTGAATGTGGTGAATATTTCAGAAAAGAAATATGCAAAAATGAATTCCATCAAATATTCATATATGTGTTCTACAAATACCTATTTGTATATTGTCTATAAATGAATGTGGGGAAATTAGCAATAAGCAGTAAATTTTTTTAAAAATTTATTAAAGACACATTGCCACTAACCCCTTCAAATACTCCCCTCACTTCAGACATCCCAGTTTCATTTTCTTTTCAGATACGAAAATCAGTTGGCCAGTAGTACCTTAGTTGTGTTGTCATTAAACTTTTTTGAGATAGGGTATTGCTGTATAGTTTAAGCTGACTTCAGACTCATAGTAATCCTCTTGTCTCAGCCTGCTAAATGCTAGGATTGCAGTGATGCACCACCAAAGCTGGCTGCACTAAACCATACTGAAACCTGAAAGAGCATGAGGAAAAAGGCTTGTGGTGATGGAGCACGGATGGTCAAGATACTTGAAAGCTAGAGATGATTTCATCATAATAGTAGATTTGCTTATGTTTTACCAATTTCTTTGTATATATTTTTAAACATAGATATGTAATGAAACATAAAAGACTTAACTTAGAACTAGCTAGGCATGTTGTGCACACCTGTAATCCCAGCACTCTGGATGCTGGGATGGGAGGATCACCACAAGTTCAAGAGGCCAGTGAGACCTCGTCTCAGAAAACCAAAAAAACCAAAAAAAAAAGAAGAAGAAAGACCTAACTTAAATGTAGTGATGTTGTTACATGCTATAAATAGTCAGTATAAAATTTAGAAAATGATAATTTAAATTTTTTATATTCACAAGTAAATTTATTTAAAGAAACAATTTAATATTTATTATTATCTCTATCACCTAGTCCCTGGTATTTAAAGGAAATATTTAAGCATACGCTTCATTCTCAAAGAAGCTAACGTTTCTTAAATGAAAAGGAAAGCTTTCACTTTAATGATTGCATTAGATATTTTAGCAAAGTATATCGTGATATACTCAAGGTTTTTGTTTTTTTTTTAAGGATTATATGCGTCAGGCAGGAGAAGTCACCTATGCAGATGCTCACAAGGGGCGCAAAAATGAAGGAGTGATTGAATTTGTATCTTACTCTGATATGAAAAGAGCTTTGGAAAAGTTGGATGGAACTGAAGTCAATGGCAGAAAAATCAGATTGGTTGAAGACAAGCCAGGTTCTAGACGGCGCCGATCCTATTCCAGGAGCCGGAGTCATTCAAGGTACTTGTTAACAGTGTCCTTCATGTATTGGCACTCACCATCAGTTTATTAATGATCACACAGATAATTGGCTGGTGTTCCCCTGTTTGGGTGCTCCATAGCTTAGATCTCATTTGGTTCAATAAGTTGAAACTTTGAACTGAACATTTATTTATAAAACTCTTGAACTCTTTTGTCATGAGTACAATTAGACATAAAGTCCTTTCTCTGAAACAGCAATCAGTGACCTTTAACACTTCTTCTGGGGGCACTATAGTAATACTCTGTCTAGGGGCACACATGGTTACTGGTTTCTTGGTTACTCTCATAAATACACCAGCCACTCAAGAGTACAGAATCTGTCATGTTTGGCAGTTGCTCTGCCCCCAGGCCAGGCACCAAGTTAAGTGTCAGGAAAGCATTGGAGAGCGAGACAAGTCTGACCCTGCTCTTACTAGAGAAGACCAGCACTAAGCAAATGGCTACCATGCTGACAGGTTCATTGATAGAAATGCACACAGCACAAGTAATCTGGAGAGTTGGCAGAGGCTTCCCTAATGACGCCATAAAAGCCTAGCCTGAAAAGATGAATTGGAGAGAGAGAAGGCAGAGGAGGGGGCAGTGCCTTCTTAGCAGAGAAGGGTGTTCTTGAAGGCCCGAGGGACGGAATCTCCCAGATTAGAAAGGGTAGTACCAGGACTGAAATGAAGGAAAGTAGCTTGAGGTAAGGCAGAGAGGGGCTAGATGATGCTGAGACTCAGGATAGGTTCTGGGTGTAAGGAATGAGAAGTCACTGGAGACTTCTAATACATAAAGCATTGGAGAAAATAATTTAATGAGCCCTAAATCCCATTATACCTATCACCCAGTTTTTAAAATTCTATCATTAACAATTTTATATTTTTAATAATTCTGTCACTTAATATCTAGTTTGTATTTATATTTTCCCAGTTGTCTTAAATAGGTATTTCTGCAGTTGGTTTGATTGTTTCAGAATCCTGTGTAGGAATCGAATTGTAGTCAGAGGGCATGTCTCTTCATATTCCTTCTAATTTACTGGCATTTCCCCTTCACCCTGTCTCTGTTTCTCATGTATTTATATTGAAGAAATAAGGTCATCTGTGTTGAAGATTATCCCACAGTTTAGATTTTGCTAGCTGCATCATTAGGGTAGAGTTTAACACATTCCTTTACCACGTTTCTCGTATTTCCTATGAGCTCACAGTTAGATCTTGGGACATCAGAAAAAAGACTTTTTTTTTTTTTTGAGGCAGGGCCTCATTATGTGATGTGGTTCAGGTCAGCTTCACTATGTAGCCCAGGCTGACCTTATTCACGGTGATCCTCCTGCCTCAGCCTCCTCAGTGCTGGGATTATCAGCATGTGGCACCACACCTGGCTAAAAAGACATATTTTAGCAAGACCACATCATGGTAATACATACTTCATGTTGCACAATTTAAGAGATATCTGCAGATGTCCTGCTTTGAATGATGATAGATGGTTAAGTGCACCTAGAGTTGTCCGCCTGAACCTACTAGCTTGTAGAATATTTAGTGCCGTAGCACCCTTCAAAGATGACAGTGGTTACTGCCTAGGATCATTATGAAGAAGTTCTTGGGTGTATATGTATCTAATGTTTGACCTGTTAATAGGCAGTTTCACACCTTTTTTATTAATGCATATTGGTTATACAGATCATGGGTTTCATTTAGGCAAAATCATACATGCACATAACATACTTTAATCATTTTTACCCCCTCATCCCCCCGCCACCAGTTTTTGTTGTTTCAGTGCCTATATTTTGATCTTATGCATCCCCCTACAGTTTTTTGTTTGTTTGTTTGGTACCAGGGATCAAACTCAGGACCTGGCATGTGCTGTGCCACTCAGCTAAATCCCCAGCCTACAGTCGTAATTTTTTAATGCTTAAGTTTCTCTTTGTGGTCATTGGGAGCCCTTCCAGTTGGTTCCTATATCTTCAGTCTTTTGTTTTTGTTTGATTTTATATAAATGTACTTTACTATTTCCTCATACCTTTAATTGTAGTCATTTTCAAACATAATACTTGAAAGACTAGTTCATGAATACTTGTATGTCTCAGCTTTAGAGGTATTTTGCCTTTTCTTTCTCTCCTCTCTCTGTATATTTGCAAATATATGTATATATTTATACATACTATTCATGTATTTTTGCCATTGAAAGAGTTGTGGAAATTCTGGAACTTGACTGTCATAATCAATATGTCTCCAAGAATGATTATAGCCAGTTTTAGGTTTTCCCCTAAGAACATTAATACACGTAATTTCATCAGTCCCCTAGTGTCCAAGCCTTATTCAGACTTCCCCAATGGTTCCATGGATGTCTTTTTTTTTTAGACGAGGTCTCACTATGTAGTGAGACTGATGTGGAACTCACTATGTAGCTCAGGCTGGTCTCAAACTCACAGCGATCCTCCTGCCTCAGCCTCCTCTGAGTGCTAGGATTACAGGTGTGTGCCACCATGCCTGGCCTCCATGGATGACTTTATAGCTAGATTTTTTTCCTGATCAGGATCTAATGTAGTCATATATTACAAAAGGTTATTAAATCTCATTAACCTGGTGCTAACCCATACACATCATGACATTTATTTTTCTTAGCTTTTTAAGTACCATTCAGTATTCTGAATCCATCTGTTTTCTTTTGCAACTGCTGAGTGATTATCCCCTGGACTTCCTATAAGGTGGAATACAGGTCTGATTGAGATGTAGGTTAGACATTTCTGGTAAGAGCCTTTATAGGTAATGGTATCAGGAGGCTCTGAACATTTCCCTCTCCCATTCAGTGATATGTCCTAGGCACATCTTGTGCATTTCCTGCCCTATACATAGGATCAATCATTACCCCCAAGAGCCCCAGTTGCCTTCAATAGGAAGTACTAAAAAAAGTTTGTAGTCTTGGCTTATTCATGGATTTCTGAAGCTTAGAGAATCTGTAGGACAGCTCTCCAGTCATAGAAAGGGGAAGAGAAAGTAAAGGGAAGAGTGTTTGCAGGAGGGCAAGGTAGGAGACTCACTGTGCTTCCAGGGAGGGATGGTAGTGGGCCAGAGAAGCAGCAGTGAAGGCAGGTGGACTGCAGAGGATGAAGAGATGGAACTGTCGGTACATAAGGGGATGGCTTCAAGGATGGCTATCGTTTCTCATGAGGAACTGGGTAAACCACAGTAGCATTAGTGGCAATAGCCCAATCAAAGGAGCAGATCTAGGGAGAAAATCCGAGTCAGAGGTTGGAGTCAGTTCCAGGTGTGCCATCTAGGTGGAATGTAGGAGGCTGCATCCTTGAGTCTAAACACAGGAAAGAATTTGTCAATTTGTGTCTAGACATAGCCAGAGTTGTATGTTTTTTTGTTTGTTTTTGGTGGTAGCATGATACTGAACATTTAACCCAGGGCCTTGTGCATACTCGGCAAGTGCTCTACCACTAAGCTGTATCTCCAGCCTTTTTGTTTATTGCATTTTGAAGCACAGTCTAATAAGTTGATCAAACTGACCTGGAACTTAATGCTCCTGCGTCCGCTTCCCAGGTGGGTGGAATTAACAGCATGCACTAGCATGCTTGGCTGGAAGTGTCCATGTTTGGGTTGAAAGAATATTTTGGGGTCAGTGGTGGATCACTTGCCTCGCATACACAGGGCCCTAAGTTAAATCCCCAGCACTGTAAATAAAAAAGAACGTCCTGGTTGACTGTCATTAGCCCTTTGTCAGCAAGTTAAAAGTTTCTTTCTCTCCACAGGTCTCGCTCTCGAAGCAGACATTCCCGGAAGAGCAGAAGCCGAAGTGGTAGCAGCAAAAGCAGTCAATCCCAGTCTAGGTGGGTCTGCCTTGGGATCAGGGAAGTTGGTAGGAAAGAGCTGCAGCATGCTCACTTTGATTTTACTTGTCACCCATCTCCCCTCACTCTGGCTTTTCCAGCTCCACATTAGAGTTGCAGGGGAGAGCGGTCCTTGGCAGGGCCACCGTGGTCTTTCATCCCTGTTAGCATGAAGTGTGATACCACGTGCCCTGTCTCCTCAGGTCAGGCTCCCACTCCCGGAGCAAGAGCCGCACTCGCAGCCAGAGTCGCAGCCGCAGCAAGAAGGAGAAAAGCAGGAGCCCCAGCAAGGACGACAAGAGCCGCAGCCGAAGCCGCAGCGCAAACAAAAGCCGCAGCAAGAGTAAAGACCATGCTGAAGACAAGATCCAGAACAACGACAGCACTGGGAAACCCAAGAGTCGGAGTCCCAGCCGGCATAAAAGCAAGAGTAAAAGCAGGAGCAGGAGCCAAGAGAGGAGAGTGGACGAGGGAAAGCGAGAGAGCATGAGCAGGAGCCGGAGCCAGGAGAAGAGCCAGAGCCAGGAGAAGAGCCGCCTCAAGAGCAGGAGCCTGAGTGGGAGCAAAGGGGGCAGCCGCAGCCGGAGCCGCAGCAAAAGCAAGGATAAGAGGAAGGGCAGGAAGAGAAGCCGGGAGGAGAGCCGCAGTCGCAGCCGGAGCCGCAGCAAGAGCGAGCGGAGCAGGAAGCGCAGCAGCAAGCGAGACAGCAAGGCGAGCAGCAGCAAGAAGAAGAAGAAGGAGGACGACACCGACCGCTCGCAGTCCAGGTCACAGTCGCGCTCAGTGTCAGAGGAGCGAGAACACGCCAAGGCTGAGTCTGGTCAGGGGGAAGGCCAAGGGGAGAGTGAGGGTGCCGTCCCCAATCCGGAGACCCGATCCAGGTCAAGGTCCAACTCCAAATCAAAGCCAAACCCCCCGACAGAATCACGCTCCAGATCAAAGTCAGCTTCAAAAACCCAGTCTCGGTCTAAGTCTCGATCCAGGTCTGCCTCCAGATCGCCCTCCCGGTCTAGATCTAGGTCCCATTCAGGGTCCTAACTGGCTCCGACCATGGCTGGAACTACCCAAGAAGTCTTTTGTACATGTTTGGTAGCTGTAGCACAAGTGATTGAAGTAGAACATCCATCACTGCTGTACATTTTTAACTCCCCTAATGGTGTGTCTATAATTGTTAAATCTAAGTGCTTCCTCTCAGTAAAGCCTCCTGGCGCCAGGCCTTCCTGCTCAACTGAAAAAAAACTCTTCGAAACCCCCTTTCCTCATGGCCCAGAGTAGAATATCCAAAACGCCTTGGCTCGCAGGCCTGGCCTATCCTACGGGGAGCTCGGTACCTGGACAGCTTTAAGGCTGGAATGATGGCATAGGTAGGTATGGTGAGTTCAACCATTTTTGCCCTTGAATTGATGCCCTTTGATGTATGCCATTTAGTAAAAGTGCTAAGTCTTCAGTTTCTACCACTTTGGTTTCATACTTTTGGACTTAACACAGTTGTGAATAGCACAGTCGAGGAAAATTGACACCTGCAGTTACCCATAGGAAATAAACTGTAGAGTTCCATATTCTGGTATTGTGATTATATTGTTTTATATTAAAAGAAAAGAATTTTTTTTAATTTTATTTTTTCCCCGTCTTGCAAAGTATAGTGACCCCTGTTTCCATTAAATTTGAATAAAGACTATTTTTGCTTGACAAAATTTCATGGTGCTTGAATCAAAGTTACATTTCCTGATGTATCTTGATATTTCCTGTTTTGTTCCTTGGGGTCACCTGTGGTAGGAAGCCAGCGTTTCCCAGAGGACTTTTCTCACCCAGGAGAATGAAGGCAAATTTCCCAGAATTTATGATTTTGGGATTCTGATTCTAGGATTCTCTTGTTTGTGGCCAACCTGATAAGAAATGAAGTCATTCGAAAATTACCGGAGCATCGTCAGTGGGTTTTTCATGAACAGGCACTTCTTTCTTCCATGCTTTTTGTTGAACTTGCCATGATCTGTACACTGTGATCCTCTAATCACTAGGATTTGAGCTAATCCACAACCAGGGGGGAAAACTATCAAAGTGGAGAGGAAGCTAGGGCACCCTCGTACAAGTGCTGCAAGTGGAGGAGACAGCCGTTTCTCACACTGCTGTCTTCTCACCTGTAGACAAAACCTATTGGGCGCTCTGGGAGTATAAAAGCAGAGTGTCTCTTACCTGTAATCTCTGCACTTGAAAGGCAGGAGGATCACTGAGTTCAAGGCTAGCCTGAACTACATAGCGAGATCTTGTCTCCAAAAACAACTTCAGGTCAGAAGCATCAAAGTTTACCTTTGGGACTTTGGTGTACAAGTGAGAAAAGCATCTCTGAGCACAGCCATGGAGCTGGGAGAGCACATGCAGTGGGCCTGCGAATGTGGGGCTTGATGGTGGGCATTAGGGAGGAAAATTAGCAAGACAGGTTGGATCCTAGACAGCTTCAGTACCTCCATCCCCGACGTACTGGGGACTCAAAGTGAGCCAGCAGGGTGCATGGTGTGGACCTTTGTCCTGGACCTGGCAGTAGTGTGAGGGTCTGGATCAGGAAACCAGCACTTGACATACAGTGCCAGATGCCACGGAGCCTGGTCAGAGGCTGTGACAGGCAGCAGAAGAGGAACAGCCAGCTAGGCTTGGCAGGTGCCTGAGGAAGGGTACTCAAGAGATTCCAAGATGATGAAGCAGCTCTGAGGTGTGGGGAAAGGTAAGACCCATGTAGAAACAGGTTTTGGTGACCAAACTAAAGAAACGAGTATCCTTAGAGCTTCCCATACCTTACCTGGGTGCATTCTTTGACATCTTGACAAGGCAAGGGCTTCAGTAAAATTTGTCGGTCTCCAGTGAATGACTTTCTCCCTATAAAGAGGATATTGTTTCATAAATTCAGAAGCCCACACTGGGAGTAGCTTAGCGTGTGCTTAGCATGCTCAAGAACCCTGGGTTCATCCCTAGTGCTAGTGCAAGAAATATATATATATATATTTTTTGTTTGTTTGTTTGTTTTTTTTTTGTTTTGTTTTTTGAAATATATAAAAATATATTGTTTGGTTTTTTTACTCAGTATGTAGTTCAGACTGCTCTGGAACTCACTGTGTAGCCCAGGCTGGTCTCGAACTCACAGCGATCCTCCTGCGTCAGCCTCCCAAGTGCTGGGATTACAGGTGTGCACCACCACACCTGGCAAAAATATATATTTTTTTTAAATATTTATATAATTTCACCCTGACACAGCAACTCCTATTTCACTTAGGAGCATTGGAAAGTTCTCGCTTAAATGTATAAGCATATTGATTGTAGCCAAATGAATTCAGCACCATGTTCTTTGAATTTAATGGTAATGGTATGGGAATTCCATTTGTACATAGGATGTCCAATGGTGATCAGCAATTTTTACACTCATCTATATTACACTCCGGATAAAGCAACGTGAGAAAAACAAACTGTCATCCGCTGAGTTCTGAAGGTGTACCAGTGATAACATTAGGGACTCTCCTATATAATTTAATCTTTTTCTCAGTAAAATCCTGGGATCAGTAGTTTTAGACCCCAGTGCAGATGTTATTAGCATAATGTCCAACCAACATATGTAACAGTTTCTCACAAGGCTGAACGTATTCTTACTATCCTGCAGTGTCTCTGTATTTACTTAAGTTGAAAACATGCCCACAGAAAAACCTGCATTCAAATACTTACGAGTAGCTCTTCACAATTGTCAGGCCTTGTCAGGAAGCAACCAAGATCGCCTAAAGCAGATGAACAGGAACAGATACACTGGTACCAATGGCAGTCTGGTGGCCCCTATACTCCCTGTCTCCAGGGCCTGCCAACCTGGCCTCCACCTTTTTTTAAAAAAAATAAGACAGGATCTTGCTATGTAGTTCAGGCAGGCTGGTCTCAAACTCTGTCTAGTCCTGGCTGGCTTTGAACTCTAGCAATTCTCCTGCCTCAGCCTCCTGAGTACTGGGATTACAGATGTGCACCAGCCACACCTGGCTACGGTAATACATTTTTTTAAACTTTTAAGTACTCAGCGTATATTTTGCTCATGCCTTCTGTGTTCCTCAGGGTGGCCTCAAACTCAAGATCCTCCTGCTTCATCCCAGCACGGGTGGAATTACAGGCGTGCAACACCACACCCAGTTCCCACATTCTAGCCTAGACCCAGGAGACTTGCCTCACTTGCATGCCAGCAGCTCTTAGCCCAAGATTAAGCATGTGGAGTGAGGTGGCTGTATTCATCCTGCAGAGGAGGGCCCAAAAAAGAAATGTAAATCCCAGGCATTTGGGAAGGGCCTCTCTGGTTCTGAGGCTGATATGTATATGTCCCAGGGGAGACGGAAGCAAGGGAAGGTTGGTTTTGTTTTGTTTGCAGTACTAGGGATTAAACTCGGCCTTTACACTGAGATACATCTCCAGCTCTTTTTCTTTGTTTTTTGTTTTTGTTTTTTTTTTACTTTGAGACAGGCTCTCACTAAGTCATTCAGTTGCCCAGGCTGAACTCCCAATTTGTCTTGCTTCAGTCTCCCTGAGTGCTGGGATTACAGGCATCACCGTCATGCATGGCTCATGGAAGGGTTGGGGGGGTAGTTGGTTGGTTTTTTTTTTGAGACAGGGTCTTGCTATATAACCCAGGCTGGCCTCAAACTCCCAGCAATCCTCCTGCCTCAGCTTCCTGAGTGTTGGGATTCAGTGTGCCACCATGGCCAGCTCATGGAAGGGTCCTTTTTTTTTTTGGTACCAGGGATCGAACTCAAGTCCTTGTGCTTGTGAGGCAGGCATAATGCCACTGAGCTAGCTCCCTGTCCCCAGTGTCCTGAACAAGATGGGGAGCTCCAGATTCTGTCTGGGTCAGAGCTCAGTGACCTGATCTAACACTCTGTCCTCACCTCCCCCTCATCTCAGAGGGGGAAGAGGGGCAGCTTCTGTTCCACACTGGACAGACTCCGAGCTTGGAGAATGAGCTGCTCCGATGGAGGGATGGGGCAGAGCCCACAGACACTGGTTAGCTCCCAAGTCCCATCCAGTCCCCATCCAGGAGCCAAATAACCCTCCTGACCCGACCCCACCATTTTGCATTAGCAGCTGTGTTTGACTGGGAGGATGTTGGGGGGAAGAGAGGGTGGGACGGGCTCAAGGGAGGGGCAGCAGGTCCCCCTACTGAGGATTTCTTCACAGCTTCTCTCCTTTCAGGGACTTGCTCTGTTGCAGGTAGGCAGTAGCCTTGGTTCATCAGGGCCTGGCCCACATGCCTAAGCCCAGCACTGCTTTCTGTGCAGACTTGGCCCATCCCTCTCCTGCTTAAAAGCTAGAGCAGTAGTGCCGGGGACTTAGCTCAGTGGTTCTGCTGCCTGCCTAGAAAGCTCAAGGTCCTGAGTTCAATTCCCAGTACCCCCCACCAACAAAAGACTTAGAGCAGTGTTTGGAGCCTGGCCCTGCTTCTGCCCCATTTCCTGCTCTGCCTGGGCCAGTGACCCACCTCTTTGTGCCTCAGACTCCTGTGCAAAATGGGAGTGGCAGTAGCTTCTGCACAGTAAGCAGGAGGCTCCCAACAGTGAGAGCTCAATGTCTGATGCTGTCCAAATTACACAAAATCAGTGGGGTGGGGGCTGCGGCTCAGTGGTGGAGCGCTTGGGTGGGGGGCACAGAAACTGGTACAACTAGTTGCAATAATAGAATATTACTCATCAATGAGAAATGAGCTATTAAGTCACAAAAGACGTGGAGACAATTTAAATGCATATTGCTATGTGAAAGCCAGTCCGAAAAGGTACGCACCTTATGATTCTAACTGATCCTCCAGAAAAGGCAAAACTGGAGACAGCGGAAAGATGGCCAGGGAGAGAGGGAGGGACCAGCGTGTGGAACCCAGGTGATTTTCAGAGCCCGGGAAGCTTGTGTGGCTGCTGTCGTGGAGGACACCTCACTTTCCCCGTGGCAGAACTGGGCTTTAGTAATAATGAGGTGTCAATTCGTCAACTAAAATGCGCATTCCACACTTAGGAGAGATGTAAGTAACAGGAGGAAGGGAAGGGGAGGAGGGGCAGGAGAGGGAGACAGGAACTCCACTTCTCCATTTTTCTGCAAATGTACTGTCTGTTACTTTTTTTAAAGGTGCAGGAGTCAATCTGATGGCTCCTGTCTACCGATCGGCAGGCAGTGCCCCCTCTTCAGGCCTCTCGGTGGTCTCCCTTTAGCATCCTGTGACCCATGTGTGAATCCAGCCCCTCTTTTCACGTGTGCCACCACAGTCACTATGTTTTTCAGTGGTTGGAAAGGTGGAATGTTTCACGATATATAAAAGTTATACCAAATTCCCATCTCAGTGTGCAGGTCAAGTGCAGTCCCTGGGACAGGGACAGGTGAGCCTTCAAAGTCTGAAACATTTGCTGGTGGCTCTTTAGGAAAAGAGTTGGCCAAACCTGCACTGAATAGCACTTTTAACGATGGTCTGTAGGCAGTAAGGAAGGCAAAGGAAAGCAAAGGGAAATTATTTAAAATACATAAATTAACATGAGACACATCCAAAAAAGTATAAGGGTGACCAAGAAATATCATGGATTTCAATTTTTTAAATGTATTACGGTAAAAGACACATTGCCATTAACCCTCCCCACAAAAAACTCCCTCTCTCTCTCACTTCATACACCACCATTTTTCACTTTCTGAAGCAGTTCTGGACGTCCTCCTCGTGTCTCTTTGCAAGTGTGATCAAAAACTACAGCGAATGCTGCTGCGTGCCGCCCAACAAAAAGGCAGGCTCGTAGGACATCATGCGGGCCTCGTCCACCTTAATCTCAGATCTGCTGCATGCGACTTCTGGCTCTTTCCCAAAGTCAAAATGACCGCGCAAGGGAGATATCTTTAATTGACTGAGGTCACTGAGGCAGCCAGGACAGAGCAACTCACACACAGGAAAGGACTTTCAGAACTGCTTCAGAAAGTGGCAAGGACGGTGGGTTGTGTTCAGAGTGGCGTATTCTGAGAGGGATTCATGAAGTGTGTCTTTTTTTACTGTAATTTAAAAACTTTAAACAGTCACTGTATTTTTCAATCATACCATGCAGTAGTGGCTACGGTCCTATTTTACTATAGTCAGCAAAAGTTTTAGCTGATCGAATTCTCCCTCCCAGGAGGAAATTTTTATGTCACACACAGATACTTACAAATGAAGCTGGTTTTTAAAAAGGAAGAAAGAGGGCCGGGGATTTAGCTCAGTGGTTCTGCCGCCTGCCTCCCAAGTTCAAGGACTGGAGTTCGATCCCCGGTACCAAAAATAAATAAATAAATAAAAAGGAAGAGCGAGGACACCAGTTGCAGTGGTAACACTCTCGTCCCTCCAGATATTTAGGAGGCAGAGGCAGAAGGATTCAAGTTCGAGGCCAGCCTGAGCAAGTTAGCAAGACTCTGTTTTCAAATTTAAAGAGAAGGGGAGGTAGCTCTTGTAGTTTTTTGTTGCTATTTGTTTTCACAGTGCTGGGGATGGAATCCAGGGCCTTATACTTGCTAGACAATTGCTCTTCCCGAAAAGGACACCCTTAGCCCCAAGCACTTTTTTTTTTTTTTTGGTTTGCGTGTGTGTTACAGGGGATTGAACTCAGAGCTTTCTCACTGCATCTCACTACATCTCCAGCCCTTTTTTATTAATGTTTTGACAAGGTCTCACTAAGTCGCTAAATTGCCCAGGCTGGGCTTGAATTTTTGATCCTGCTGCCTCAGCCTCCCAGAGTACTGAGATTACAGTCACGTGCAACCACACCCAATGCTGGCACTTCTTACTCTCCACAGAAGCTTAGAGAACCGTGTGGAAGGAGAGACAAGATCAAGACAATTCAAGGCCAGGAAGGTGGGGGATTTAGCTGAGTGACACAACACCTGCCTGGCCAGCACAAGGTCCTGAGTTTGATCTCCAGTACCCAAAAAAGAAAAAAGGCCAGGAAGCAGGCAAGTTGGCTGGGCCTTGGGCAGGAAGGTCAATTGGCTAGGGAGAGGGAGCCTCAGATTCCTTCAGCTTCAAGAAAAGAGCAAAGTCACAGCCTCCCTGTAGAGCTACTGCCACTTTTTGGGCAGCTTAGTCCAAATTAGGGGCTCGGAGAAAGGCTGTTCAAAATTGACAAAGATGAGGGCTGGGGATTTAGCTCAGTGGTGCTGCTGCCTGCCTTGTAAGCGCAAGGTCCCAGTTTGATCCCCGATATAAAAAAAAAAAAAAAAAAAAAAAAAAAAAAAAAAAAAAAAAAAAAAAAAAAAAAAAAAAAAAAAAAAAAAAAAAAAAACTCCTATACATCTGCAAAAGTTGGAGTCACATCCTGGGGAGGATTCAGAGAAGCCAGATGTGGAACAACTTGTCTTCACAAGCAGCAGCAGCAGCTTCCAAAGAGTTTCACTTTTAATGCTAAAATCCAAATAAATTAATCTATCCCTGGTGCAGGAACACCAGCTGTACAAGGGAAAATCCCAGATTCAAAATCATTTCACCACTAAAATATAAGGACAGCCGGGCATAGTGGCGCACACCTGAAACCCCAGGACTTGGGAGGCTGAGGCAGGAGGATCACCATGAACTCAAGGCCAGCCTAGAATATATGAGACCCTGTGTCAACAATAAATAAAATGCAAGGACAGTCAAAGAAAAGCTCCCCTTGGTATATTGTTACCAGAAGCATAGTGGACCCCAATGGCATGGCCAGTGCCAGACAACTGAGTACCAGAAAGCAGCACTCACTATTCAACAGCCCTAACAGGAGGCAAAGCCAGGTCTTTCTTTCTGACAGGCAGAGGTATGCCACGGTCTGTTTTCTGTAACAAAGCACTGTGCAACTACTGCAGTGACCAAACCTCAGGTGCCTGAAGGGAGGTAGATGAAGTTCCCAAACCCAGAGAAGCCGGGCACGAAAGGGCACACACTGCTGTTCGAAGTTTGAAAAAAAATTTTTTTTTTTTTTTTCAGAACTGGGGATCAAACTCAGCACCTTGCAAGGCACAGTGCCACTGAGCTAAATCCCAGGCCCCTTAGAAAATTTTTAAACAGGCAAAACTAAATTAGGTGTTTTTAAAAATTCAACTACAGTATTAGAATAGTGAATATGCTCCCACACAGGGAAGAGGTGGCACTTACAAAGGGACATCCGGCCTTCCTGGGCCTGGCATTACATACACTGTTTATTGCCTGGTGGGAATTGTACTGGGCATTTTCTTTGTGACAGATTAATGAGATGGACGTTCAGGTTTTATGCAGTTTCCTAGAAATATATCATATCCACAATAAAAAAGCTTTCCAAAAGGCAAGTGGAAATTTAAGCTGATCTCATTAAGAATCAAAATTCTTGGGGCCAGGGATTTAGCTCAGTGGCACTGCACCTGCCTGACAAGTGTAAAGTCCTGAGTTCATTCCCTGGTAGCCCCCAAATCAAAATTCTTTTCTGTCTTGTTGTACCAGGGCAGGTACGGCACCACTGAGCTACATTCCTGGCCACTTGTTTTGTTTTTTGAGATAGGTTCTCCATATGTAGTTCAGGCTGTCCTTGAATTCACTATGTAGTCCAGGCTGGCCTCAAACTTGTAGTGATCCTCCTGCCTCAGCACCCAGAATGCTGAGATTACAGGCATGTGCCACCAGCCACCATTCCTGGCTCAAAAAGTATTTCTTCTATAAGATAAAATATCTGTCCTTAATTCACACTTCCCAGGCAATTGGTGGGGTTTCTTAGCCTATTAATGAACCCTGAGATGTTCCTAGAGAAATGCAAGTTAGAACAGCCCGGCTGTGTGGCCTTACCCTAGTGTACCAGACGAAACCGATACCAGCACAGCCCAAAACCACCTTGGGCTCCAGAGGGCAGGGTCGTATGGCAGAAGCTGTGCCAGTGAGCTACTCCTGGACATTTATCCTGAGGTGACAACTCAGAGACAAGTGCTCTAGGACAGAGGTGTTCATGCTGGCGTTATTCGCAACAGCACAGCACGGGAAGCCTTCCAAGCCCAGCACAAGGTAGCTGAGAAATCCCAGTTCCCTGCCCCATTTTCCAACCACAAGCTCCGGTGACTATAATGGGGACAATTAGCTACATTCAAGTTGACTGGAGGTTCTTGCAGTGAGCTTTCATTAATCTTGTCTTTTCCCTGGAATGTCTCTTGGCAAGACAAACTAGCCAAGAAGTTTGAAAAGCCTCGGCCTCTTGGTGATTCCTCCAAATCAGAAATGTCACAGCAGCCTAGCAAGCAGTAGTACCTCAGTGACTGCAGGCACCGGTGTCCCTGCCCCTCGGAGGAGAATCTTCAAGGATTAGAAACCCTCTGAGCACACTGGCTCCCCTTCCTCTCAGCTCATTCCTCTTACTGGAACATTACAGGGTCTTGCAGTTCCTGGAAAGTGTAAGAGACTAAGTGAAGGACCTAACACAGCCTGTGCACCTATTAATTGCATGCGCGCATGTGTGTGTGTGTGTGCTGGGGGAGGGGTCGGTTGCTGGGTTCTCACAGCTCCATGGGAAGGACTGTGCCTGCGTTTCACAGATGAGGACATGAGACTCTTGGAGTGGGGTGACAGACTCTACCTTCTTGCTGGCCAAGTTATGTAAACTCTGAGTCATAGTTTCCCCGCCTGTAAAATGCACTTAATAATTCATACCTTTACTTCCCAGCTGTGTGTGGAGAAGGCGCTGGATTCCGACAGGCTTGGCCTGGAGTCCCGACACCCAGCCACAGTGTGATGGAGTGGACAGTCACTTCCCTGTCCCTGGAAGCAAAAGCTAGCTCAGTACCTACTGCCCCTGCAGGTTAGCTTAGGGTCCCTCCCTGCTCGAACCCCCGCCTCTGCCCCAGTGCGTTTCCACCCCTTCAAAGAGCTCCCCACACCAGCTCTGCGCTGGGCTGCCTCATCAGGGTCCCTGGCCCCCGCAGAGCCACGCCATGGTACCCACTGGCCCTCTGCACCTCCTGGCCACGGATGAGCCCCGAGCTTGGACCGGAGAACGCTCCCTGGGCCTTGTCCCCTTTGCTGTGGTGAAACAGTCATCGCAAACTTCAGGACACCTGTTCTGATAGGGGAGCAAATCTCCAGGGGGACTGGATGCCCACACACACAGCCGAGCCAAGAATACATGGAGGTGTCACGGACAGCGGGGCAGCCAGGAACGGAATGTGGGCCTGGCGCTGTCACCTCCCCTACCGAGTGATTTAGTGTCTCAGCTGCCCCCACCGGCCGCTAGAGCAGAACGCGGGACCTGGCTAAGCCAAAGGAAGCCAGGACTCAGACCAGGTAGCTGTGACCCCCGCCCCTCCAGCCCCCGCCTGTCCAGTCTCGTGCCCTCCTCCTCCGCCATCCATCCTCCCCTAGAGGATCCTTGGCAGCGGGCCGTTTGCAGGAAAGTTCATCCCAGAGGTCCAGGGGGTACCTGTGGGAGCCAGGATTGTGGCGGGCGGGGTACAGTTGGGAAGCATTAGGACTGGTCCGGGATCTGGGGCCCACAGAGCAGCTATCGGCTCCCGCGGGGCAGGGGCGCGGCACTGCCACCAGGGGGCGCCCCGGATCTCCATCTATGCGTCCCTGGCCAGCCCGTCCCAACCCCAACTTGATGGCCAGGCAGAGAGCTGCTCCAGAGACCTGGGACCGGCCCTGGGGGTCCTCACCTGGAATCCGAGGAGAGGGGTGGAGCCTCTGCTTTCTCTCCCAGTGTGATGTGTCACCAAGTGGAGGTGCCACATGTCGTGGTCTCTGTGGCAGTCCTAGTTGTCTCCTAGGAGCCATTTCCCAGCCTCCCTTGGAGATGAGTGAGGCCATGCTAGAAAGGAGCATGCTGGACACGTGCACTGGGTGGGCTCTCCCAGCCATTCTCTGGGTTGGTCGGCGAACTGCAGGTGGGGGACAGCCAGTTTTGTCTTTTTGTTTCGTTTTTCATCACAGAGGCAAAGCGAGTGCCACCGTTAGGATGCAGGGCAACAAGACTGGCAGGGGGTGAGGTGACATGGGGGCTTCTTGTATGGCTGTAAAAGAAAGGAGAGATACTTTTTGTTGCTTCTGAACATCACTGTTTGTAAATTCTGCCCTGGCAAGCTCAGCCCTGCACCTTGTTTTGTACCTGAAATAAAACAATCCTATGATAGCTGCTGTTTACAAGGCTTACAACTGCCAGCGCATTAGTCAGCTCTCAGTGGATCGTGCTGCAGTGACAAGTGACTACTATCACATGGGTCACAGTAAATACACACTTTTCTTTCCAGTACAGACTGAATCCAGGGCCTTGCACATGCTGGGCAAGTGAACTACCACCTCCTCCTCCCTTTTTGAATTTTTGAGACAGGGTCCTACTAAATTACCCAGCCTGGCACTGGTGTCCCGAGGAGCTGATCACAGGTGTGCCACTGTGCCTGGCAAACCCCGACTTCCTTTCGGTGTTGTGTGTCCTTCCTGCGGATCGACTGCAGCCTGCTCCTCTCTGCACAGCAGTGCCATTTTCTCTGTTCAGGTTGTTCTCAGCCTATGTTCCCTGCCTAGTGATGGCAGTCTTGAGCACTCACAGAGGGAAAATGGAGAGGCAGCTCTTCACAGGGACCCTCCAGCCTCAGTCCCTTGAGGAACCCACAATTTGCAGCTGAGACCATGGGTGGCAGGCATGTGCCCACGGCCACATTTCCAGGCAGCAGCCCTGCTCCAAGCTGTTGGCAGCTCACTCAACTCCCAGGGTCTAACCTACCCACCTCCCAAGGCTGGCAGTCACTTGCAGGGACCCGTCAGCCCCCACAGACTCGAGAGAGTCTGTACTTCCAGCCCCTTTTCCTGTGGTTCCTGACCCTGTCCCCTCCCTCTACTTCCCACTTGACCACAGAAAGGTGCCGGATACAATTGGAATGTTCAACAATTCTTTTTAAAGGGTTACAGAAGGGCCGGGGATTTAACTCAGCGGTTCGGTGGCCTGCCTTGCAAGCACAGGACCGGAGTTCAATCCCCGGTACCAAAAGCGGGGGGCGGGAAATTCTGTTTGGGGTTACAGAAGGGCCGGGGATGTAGCTCAGCGGTTCGGTGGCCTGCCTTGCAAGCACAGGACCGGAGTTCAATCCCCGGTACCAAAAAGGGGGGGGCGGGTTACACAGAAGAGGTAGAACTCAGAGCTAAGTGAATTGCAGTCGAAATAAAACCCTAACAGCAGCTAAGGTTTTCCAGCAGGCTCTGTGAGCTCTAGGTGCCCCTCGGAGCTCAGTGAGTGAAGGAAGAAATAGACTCAGAGGAGGTGAGGCCACTGCTCTGAGGTGATATGGACAGGACTCCAAGGAGCCAGCCACTGCTTTCTCAGCTTTGGGGGGATGCATCTGTTTCTCCTGGTACATGAAGCATCTGGATGGACCTAGGGCTATGCCCTCTCTGGTCCCCAACAGCCCAGAGGAAGCGGCTAAGGTGATCGTCACTGGCCTTAACATTTTATAGCTGAGAAACTGATGGGTGGTCACCACCTGGAGGCCAAAAACACCCTAGCAAAGGGCTGGGATTTAGCTCAGTGGTTCTGTCACCTGCCTCACAAGCGAGTTCAATCCCCAGTACCAAAAAAAAAAAAAAAAGGAAAAAGAAAAACCCTAGCATGGCCAGGTTGTCACCTTCCGAGCTCTGTGTCCCCATTTTATAGAAGAGGAAACAAGCATATAGGACAGTTGCTGTTAGAACCTGGTTCTGACCCGGGTTCTGCCCTTGACCCCTGCAAGCCTGGACCTCACCAGACCTTGGTTTCCACACCTGTGATGCAGGTGAGACTGCACCTTGCTCAGTAGCACGTAAAAGGGCCTGGTAGCTCAGTGAGATGGTGACAGGCCTGCTGCTGTCCCTCTGCCCGAGGGCTCCTGCAGGAGCCTGGGCTTGCCCTGTCCTCCATGAAGGTGTCAACTCCTGCAGCACCTCAGCTTCACCCAGGCTTCTTCTCTCCTCTGGGCCTCAGAGCGCACTGGAAACAGTGCTGATCCTGTACCAATAGAACAGAGCCCTGGGACTGGGATTCTGGGTCCCACTTGCCAGTCAGGTCTCTGACTCACTCAACAACACCCCTGTGGCCGAGCAGCACGAGTAAAGCCACAGCCTGGGCCTGGAACTGGCTCCGAGTTCCTGGTGGAAGTCAAGGTCTCTGGGAAGGAGCTACAGGACACCGCATACACAGGACACACTGGCATCAGGCGATGTTCTCTGAGTGCTCTCCCAAGCTACTCTGAGACCGGCTGGGTCAGGGGCAGGAAAGCCGGAGCAGCCCACAGGGCCAGCCTCGTTCCTAAAGTACACAGGACAGAAGCCGAATTGCTGTGACCCAGAGTAGATCTGCGCCTGAGAAGGTGACAGTTGCTCTGCTCCCGCCCAGGGGGCTTCTGCAGAGGACTTGGAATGATAGGAAGAAATGTACATCACCCTGGTCACCAGGAGATACCTCACCCAGGCTGCTCCTGGTTTGGAGGGAAAGAGCCACTGTCACAGAGCAGAGCTGACCTGGACTACCCTCTAGGGGGCAGTGAGTGTCCCAGTACTGAGCCACTGGCTGCCATGCACCACTTTCTGCAGGGCTGAGCCACACAGGCAGAAGGACCCTCCACAGATGGGGAGGAATTAACTGGTCTGGATATACCTCTGGACAGATCTCTCCCCTCCCAATCAGTTTCTGCATCTGTCTGGGCCTATCAGCGACCTCCCAGAACTCTCAAGCAAACATAAGGTTTACACCTAGGAAAGTAGGACCTTGCCACCCTAAATGACCCCTAGGAAGGTTCCCACAGGCCCACACACTGCCCTCTGGACTTAAAGCCCCATAGTCAGGGCAAGGAGGAGCTGTTTGCTGGCACCCACTTTGTGCCAGGCACTGAACACTTGTACTCTTATTTAATCTTCAAAATGACACTAGCAGATCGGTATTATTCTATTTTTTATGGATGGGGAAACAGACCCAGAGGACTGAGTCTTTATGAGTGCTGTCTGGGCCAGGGCCCAGAAGTGCAGAATAGGAAGGGGTCTAGTGATGGCAGGCAAACACCGAGGGCTGTGCACAGCGCACCAGGATGTGCAAAACAGACCTAGTCCTGTATGTGACCGAACTCCAGCAGGAAACACTCAACCCCTGAGCAATCTCAGGTCACCTGTGCACAGGGACACTCCTGGTGAACAAGGGCCTGTCACGGATGGGCAGACAGCAGCTGACATCACCAGGGGCTGGGAGAAGGCCTGGAGCACTGAGGGAGTAAGAAGTGACAAGGTGACAACCAGGGAAATAGGTGGCATGGCAGTGCATGTCTGTAGTCCCAACAATCTGGGAGGCTGAGGCAAGAGGATCACAAGTACAGGGACAGCCTGAGCCATTTAGCCAGGCCCTATCTTAAAATATAATTAAAAAAAAAAAAAAAAAGGCTGGGAGCCAGGCATGGTGGTGCACACCTGTAAGGCTGAGGCAGGAGGATCGCTGTGCATTCAAGACCAGCCTGGGCTATATAATGAATTCCAGTTCAGTCTCAACTACATAGTGAGACCCTGTCTCAACAAAACAAAACAAAACAAACAAACAAAAAAAAACCCAAAAATAAAAAAAATAAAAGGCTGGGGATGTAGCTCAGCATAAAGGCTCTGGGTTCAAAGAAAGGAAGGAGGAAGAGAAGGAGGAAAGAAAGAAAGGACACCGGGATGGAGGAAAGAGGGAGGAAGGTGTGGAGAAAGAAGAGAAAGAGAAAGCACGCCCCCGGGAACACGCCAAACCCGAGGACAGAAAGCAGAGGGTCCCCGACAGAAACAAGTTTAGCCACCCAGCAGGATGGAGACTGGGGGCCAGAGCCGAGGTGTGGTGACAAGTTGGGATTTTAAAAGTGTATTGGAAGGTGCTGGGGAGCCACTGAGGGTTTGAATCAGGGAGTGGCAGGATCAGATTTAGAGTAGAAAGAGGACTGGTGTCCGTCTGGAGAACCTGATGGAGTGGAGGGAGAGGAAGGAGCCTAGGGTGACCCCAGAGCACTGTAAGAGACAGTGGGGCCCTTCACGGGGTGGGGGTGACAAGTGGCCCGAGGATGTGTCCGCTAGTTGATAGTGAAGCTGGACTTGGGGGCCCAGGTGGGAGGGGCCCCAACACCCAGGGAAGACACAGAGGACAGAAGAGACACAGAGGGAGAGAAGCCAAGCAGGGACTGCGAGGGCCCAGAGCCAAGTCCAGGGTCACGGGGAAAGGCGGGCACCCGAGGGTGGCGTAAGGACAGTCCAGGCTTTGATCTCCAGAAAGAGGCTGGACCGCGACAAGCACTGCTCAGGGGGGCGCGGCAGAGTCTGCGTGTGGGCTCGGGTGAAGTGGAGGTCGATGGGCTGGGGTCCCGAGAGGAAGGGAAGGGGCCAAGAGGGAGGAGGGGCAAGGCAGGGGCAGCTCTGTCCTGCGGGGCGGCCTGGCTTCCGGGGTCTCAGTGCCTCCCGCGTCCCCAGCAGAGCTCGGAGCGGAGCCGAGCTGTTGGGCGGAGTGGTCCCCGCCCCGCGCCAGCCG